CACATACTTATGGGAAAAGAAGGTATAAAAAGTGTTGTTTGCTTCGCATTCACATTTTGCTTCGTGTAAGTGAACTGCACTTCACAGATTAGTTGTCGCTCTGATTTAGTGGTATCCCCCTGTGTTGACCAAAGGCCAGGTGTCAGATTGAAATACTTGTGCCAGTTGGGGGAGGGAGAAACACAGAATGGTCACCAGTTGCTTTCTTCCGACGCAACTTGCAGGACATTCACAACCATAGAAATATTAACATTTCTTACCTTTGCACAGCCTGTATGTATATGTGTGTGAGTATCTTACAGCAAAGAAGACAGTGGATAAATTCTCTACTGTGACCACAAAGTCATAAAGGTTCAGTGGTTATGCAGCAATGAAGAGATCACAGCAAGTGTTTACCAGGTTGTTAACCTTGTCTGTCTCTGTCTCAAGTGTGCAGGGACAGAAAAGGTTAACAAAGGCAGACAAATGTTAATCAAGGCTAATGGCCCTGCCATCATCTGTTGGGACACTTGAAGCGGTTGCAACATCATTATGTACACGTGGTCTGCAGTCAGCAGTGTCTTTACAAAACCAGTGTTGCACCTGTTGTTTTAGTTGGATTAAACAACGATAAATATAAGAATCAATCCATTTTGTACCAAATTCTTTAACTGTCAGTGAGAAAATGTTTTAATCATGGCTAAGTATTCTGTGCCAGCTTTGCTAGTTATTGTTACTCTTTACTATGAACACAATTTAATGCTCAGTTCTTACGTTTTCATCCTGCTTTTCTTTTCAGAGAGAGGTGTCTGTCTGCCCACAGTGTCTCTATGGATACTGTTTGTGTACATAGAGGCAGCCATCAGATTCAAAGACCTGAAGAACTTCCACGTGGACTTGTGTCGTCCGTTTGCTGCACACTGGTGAGCCACTGTTTTGTTTGAACAAGGGGCAGCGGCACACTGTCCTTGACGGGCCCGCTTTGATCGAAAGGCATGTTTGAGTTTAGTGTCGACTGTAAATGTGTCACCATTGTGCTGTGGAATGATGTGAAGGAAAGATGGCTTTATCTAAACCAAACACAGAGAGACAGACTTCATGCAGTCAGTGATGTCATGCTGTTGTGGGCCACTTGCCTGTAATTTTCTTCCTTTTGCTGATTTTCATGATAAATCGGTTTAGGGTTAGTTTTCCTGAAAAATGTAAGCCTAGAAACATAGCTTATTATACAAGTAGGAACTTCTGTATCCTTCCTATTGTTCTGTCCGCACATTCATGTGATCTGAAGGAGGCTTAAATGAGTACTCTATGGTGAACATTGATATTCATACACAGTATTGTATAAGGTTAAGAGGGCTTAATCATTTTACTCCAAGGAGTCCTTTATGTTAGCCTGTATTATGCCTTAAGTTAAGCTGGTTACATAGAATAATGCAGAATTATTAGTTTGATAATATGAGTAAATTTTTGCAGCAATATTTTCTTTACTGAATCAACACTTTCTGATTTTATTTTATTTTTTTCTAACTATAACCAAACGGTAGACTTGTAAGTGTATTTTCTATGTCCTTCTCTGTAGCATTGGCTACCCAGTGGTCACGCTGGGCTTCGGCTTCAAGAGTTACGTAAGCTATAAGATGCGTCTCCGCAAGCAGAAGGAGGTGCAGAAGGAGAATGAGTTTTACATGCAGCTCCTGCAGCAGGCTCTGCCTCCAGAGCAACAGATGCTTCAGAGGCAAGAGCGCGAAGCAGAAGAAGGTAAGCTTCAAACCCATGTGTATTTTGTACTGTGTGCACACATGAGGCATCAGGTTCATATGAGGTCTGGATAATAAAATTACACAGTTTTATTAGACGTGTAAAATCATAAAATAGTCTTGAAATGAGTCAGTAATGCCGCATCCACAGGCAGTAAGTTCTGCCAGTCACTTTGCATCAGTCATTGAAGACTGGTATAAAATCTATAGCAGGTACTTGCCCCACGATTCTGAAAAAATAAACATTAATGTATAGTTAAAGTTTGTACAGCTACTGTGAAACATGAAAGCCGAGAAAATAAAGTCTGTCTTTTATTTATGACCTAGTTTGTGTAAACTTGGTTGATTGAGTTACGAACAGACTGCAATGGCATAGTGACAAACATGCTGTACATCTACAATTCTCAAAAAAGTTAGAAAAGAATGACACCTAATAGTAGATATTTTCAGTTTATACAGAGGGAACATTCAAACATCAGTTACTTATGGAAAGAAACAGGACTGAAAGGTTGAAATAATATAATGACATGAGGAATAAAAGTTACAATTGAATGAAAATAAATCAGCAAGGGACCAGAGTAAATGATGTTCAGAGATAGGAATATAGAGTTTCCTGGTAGTGCTTTTGACTTTTTAAAAAATATATTTGATAAGTTAAGTATTTTGTGCATTCCACAATTGGGGAATTGAAATGACGATTATACTGTGAACCAAAAGTTCAATGTGTTTATTGTTCAAAATTACTCCTGACTGGACAAATGTGACGTTAAGAAATCAGGGGCTCAGGCGATCATGTGAGGATTTACATCAGTTCTGGATCGTGTCAGGAGAATAAAACAGCTATTCTGTTTTTATATTTACATGGATCTGTCTACTTACAACTGCCATGTTGTGCATGATTTCCCATCACTTTAAATGTTGCTGCTGAGATGAATTATGAGGTGGCATTTTGTCCTTTTCCTTCAAAAAAGATTGTCCAGTTCTAAAATAGATAAGTTAGGAAGTATTGAAACTCCTTTATCTTTTAGAGATAATGTGTAAGCAGATCTACAGACTTGTCTGATATACCGGGAGACTCTTTGAGATGAAGTCTCAAGGCATTTGTCATATATATTTCATCCCCTTTTTAATTTCTTGTTTTCATGCAGCAGCAGCAAAAGGAATATCTGAAGTGGACACACCTCCAGTGTCACAGAACGGCGCCCCAGCCAATAAAAAGATATCTGCACCACTGCCAGAACTAGAGTATAAAGAAAAAGGGAAAGAGGGAAGGGGCGGCGGGGAGACTAAAAAGCAGCACAACAGCAACAGCATCCTGCCATCATCAGTGGACACTAAACTCCAGGAGATGGAGTATATGGAGAACCATATGAACAACAAGAGACTGGCCACAGAGCTGGGCAGTACAGAGAACCTGTTGCTCAAAGAGGACAACAATTCATCCTGCTCCTCCTCATCCTCCTCCTCATCCAAAAACTACAAAAACGCTAGCAGCAATGCTGTAACACTCAACTCCTCGCCCCGCGGCCATAGTTCTAGCAACGGCAGTGTTCCCTCCTCTGCACCATCATCCTCTTCTTCCTCGGGGAAGAACGATAAGAAGAACAAGTTATCGCTGGGAAAGGGGATGTCGGGTGGCTCCCACAGGGATCCCACGGACAACTGTATCCCCAACAACCAGCTGAGCAAGCCAGAAGCCCTTGTTAGGTAAGAAGAGCATGCAAATTCATTAAGACTATAATATTGTAGTCTAAATGTTTGGTCAATGAATACATGAACATGGAAACCTGCATTATTGCTGTTGTTTGGTGGTATCCTCTTTTTTGCATTATATCTCTGATCAAGAGAGGAATGGTGTGGTGGATCTGATGTGGCAGGAAATCAGAAACAAAACTGTTCAATAGCAGAACTTTTAAAGTATGATTGTGTCACTTTACTTACATTGCTTGCTGCTAAACTGGTATCATTGGCTGAAAGGTATTTTGCTGCCTGCTGTTGATTTTGTGTTTTTTTTTTTTTAATTAAGTCACTCCTGTGTTTTTATTGAGCGCACCATTTACATTTTGACCTCTCATGCACCTGGAGCAAACAAACACAGGCTCAGAGATTGATTGTGCTTCATGCAGCCAAAATCCATTTAAAAAACTGAAATCTGCTCTGCTGACCTCCCTAGCTGAGGCCATTAATGATGTAAGAGAACATGCACAAAGCAAACAGATGGTCATCAGTGTTTCCCACAGAATTAGATTCTATTTGTGGCTGTAACTGATGGTTCAAATTGCCAAGTACTTGGTGACTAATAAATAATTGAACTAAATATTCAGTTCAGTTGCTTCATGTTGTGTCAAACAACATGACAGGGTAAAGACACTCTGTAAAAGCTTTCTAGAATTTTTGAAGAAAGAGGAACAGGACACTGATGTTGCAGGATTTCTCCTTGGGCGCCCAATTGTGAAACAAAGTTTGAAATTTGTCAATGTTTTACTTTTTCAAATGTGGATTTTTCTTGGTGACTGCCAAAGTTGACAGCAGATAGGAAAAACATACCACATATAACAATATCTGTAGCATCGCATTCTAGTTGAAGAAGATGAAGAAAATGAAGAAGATAGTTTATGAAAATTGATATAAAGCTTCCTTCGCCCACTTTACGGTTCTGAAAGAATGAATGAGATCATCATTTTTACAACCCTAAGAAGCATTAATGTGTAGTTTTCTTGGTTTAGTTGTGTATCAACTCATTAACAAAAATTAAGATATAAGAATATTAAGAATATTTTTAATATAATTCGTAAATCTTACATTAAATATGAGATGGTCTCGGAAGCAATAATAATTCAGGGAAAGCTTTGCTGAGACTCTTCTGTGATCTAAACATTTTCACCATGAAGGGTTGGACTCTATAGAGCAAAACATTAAGAGTCATGTATCCCTGGCTACATACATAAACATGTATTGATTCTAGGGTGTAATATTTCATGGAATGCAACTTGATCTGTGCTTACAGCAGCAGGCTTATGTATTTTCTAAAGATCGTGCTAATGTCATTTAAGCAGCACATCAATGCGTCTCCTCTTTTAACTCTTCCACCTCTGACAGATTGGAGCAGGATGTTAAAAAGTTGAAGGCGGACCTGCAGGCCAGCCGGCAGGTAGAGCAGGACCTGCGCAGCCAGCTTGGCTCACTGGGCAGCGCCGAGCGCTCCATACGCACTGAGCTGGGTCAACTGCGACAGGAGAATGAGCTGCTGCAGAATAAGTGAGTGGTGCTCATTGTCACAGTAAAAATAAACAATAAGTAAACAGCAGTCGTTATCAGAAGAATCATTACATAATGCTTTACATTCACACACTAGTTTCTGATTGGGGAAATATCTTCTAGAAGATACTTTCAGATTGGTGAAGACTTTTCATGCTATGTACTTGTGTGCCTGTGCACTTGCAGACTTCATAATGCTGTGCAGGCAAAGCAAAAGGACAAACAGGCCGTGGGCCAACTCGAGAAGCGGCTCAAAGCAGAGCAGGAAGCTCGAGCTACCGCTGAGAAACAACTCGCAGAGGAAAAGAAGCGAAAGAAGTTAGAGGAGGCCACAGCAGCCAGAGCAGTAGCACTAGCAGCAGCATCCAGGTACGTGCACATCTGATGTTACAAATTTAGTTTTCAACCATTTTACTCTTGACTTGTGACTTGTTTCCTTCAAGGTGTGATGTGTTATTAGCTTTAATGTAATTGACTACTTTATTTCATACTTATTTATAGAGGGGAGTGCACAGACACACTGCGGCGGCGAATCACTGAATTAGAAACAGAGTGTAAGAAACTAACACTGGATATCAAGCTAAAGGAGGACCAGATCCGAGAGCTTGAATTGAAGGTGCAGGTGAGGATATAGATTTTTAAATTAAAGCACTTCTACATTTTCAACAAATGTTGCATGCAGTTGTCTGTTTTTATATTTTGGTTTTTGATCCTGCATACTGAATCATGAGTGGGAATTCATCAACTGTGGATCTGGTGTGTTGATGCCTAAGTTTTCAGTTCTTCATGCCAATAACTTTTACAATATTGTGGACCACAGCTTAGAAGTGACACAGCAAAATATAACATATAGTATATTTACAACAGTGCTCACGCAGAAAGCAGCACAGTATATGTTTAACAAGCAGTCAACTACAGGCCGTATAATACAGTTTTTGAGAGAAGCCAGTCAATGATTAACAGCCTTTTTTGTCAGACGGTATTTACACAGTGCTAACATGTGTGCTAACCAAGCCAACAACACAACATTCAGTCACCAGTATGCTAAATCAACCAGTCACAGACACTTACCTCCTGACCTCTATCTCTTCTCTTCCTCAGGAGCTTCATAAATATAAGGAGAATGAAAAAGACACAGAGGTGTTGATGTCAGCGCTGTCAGCCATGCAGGACAAAACCCAGCACCTGGAGAACAGCCTGAGTGCAGAGACGAGGATCAAACTGGACCTCTTCTCTGCACTGGGGGACGCCAAGAGACAGCTGGAGATAGCACAAGGTCAGCCTGATTGACACACATAACGTTTATTCAAATACTGATACTGAAGCTGCTTTCAGACATGGGACTTTTCCTTAAGTGTTAGTATGGACTATGCCATTTTCAAACTAAATTGAAGTAGTATGGCTGTAGCCAGAGTTCCTATCTGAAAATGGCTTGAGAGTGTGAGTACTCATTAATTTCCGACATCCCCTTTCCCATAATTGTAATCACATATTTAAGTTCTTGTTTTTGTTAATGTCTTCTTCCAGGTCAAATAATGCAGAAAGACCAGGAGATTAAAGACCTGAAGCAGAAGATAGCTGAAGTGATGGCCGTCATGCCCAGCATCTCCTACACAGCCGACACCAGCAGCATGACCCCCGTGGCCCCCCACTACTCATCCAAGTTCATGGACACCAATCCTTCCGGCCTCGACCCCAACGCCTCTGTTTACCAGCCACTCAAAAAGTGAACGCTTGGTCCCGCCCGCCCCTCCCTCCCTCCCCTCCATCCATACTCTCGTCAGTTTTTATTTCACCTGCAGGCCCACCACCTTCCAATCTGTTTGGCATGTCTGCGGCTGAGAACGTTGTTTTTTCTTGGGGTTTTTTGTTCTCTCCTCGCCAGGTCAGAAGGATGTTGTATTGTGTGACTGTATTTGTTGTAGTTAAAACAAAAGACAAAAAAAACTTGAAATGGACATGTCAACTAGGAAGTCCCAGATTTTTTTTCTCTTAAGTGTCTAGTGAAACCTCACAGAATCGGGTATGTACCTACATCTCAAGGTTGTTGCTCTCCCTTCCCCCCACTGCAACCTGATACCTGCTCTTTGGTCCTGGGGAATAGCTTCTTTTTTTTAGGTTGATTTTTCCCTCCTAAAATCACGAAGACAAGAGTTCTCCATCATCATCATACAGCCTGACTTGTATCCCGGTTTCTTTGACAGATTGTTTTTCTCACAAGGTAGTAAGGCAACATCTGTACAACCAGAAGAATGTAGTGCAAAGTTGGCACAGACTCTCTCCCCTGTTATGTTTTATTTATTCTTTCTTTCCACAATCGGACACCAAATTAAACCTGCCCTCTGCTGCTTTGGGGTTTGCTGGTAAATAGTTTATTTTGTGGTTCTTCTCTTTTAAGATTCAAGTGACGATTTCAACAAGCTGGAAAAGATCTCATGTTGGAAACAGAAACAGACTTTGAAAAGAAACAAACCCCAGCAGCTCTAAATGTTGGCTCGATGTTCTGAAAGAGTTCTTGAGTTGAAGAAGTGCAGGAAGAGAAGACTGCAAGTGCACAGCTTCTCGGTACTCTGCATCGTCTTTCTCCAGTTGTCATGATCACAGTGCCTTGAGTAGAGGACATAAACTGAGAGATAATGAGACATGACCCAGCACAAATTAGTTGTGAAGCATCTGGCTTAAGATGGATGGGATAATAATCTATTGGTCTGATTTGGTTTTCTGGCCAATTTCCTGGAGGGTTGCTCTGTCCCTTTGTTATAGACATCACTGCTAACAGATAAAGTGGTACGCACCAAAACCAAATCCATTTCATTGTACTCATGTTTGCCTGTTGTCAGTATATTGGCATGATGTTATCTACCACAGAGTCTACTGCACACAGGTCTCTAAAGAAGCTCATCCATACGGCTGTTAAACCCCAACTCCCTCAGTTGAAGCCATCGCTCCCTCTTTTCTTTTTTTGAGTTTCAACTAAAAGTTGCACTGTAGAAAACACGCTGTTTGAAAGGGAAATTTATAAAGATGGATTGTGCAATGTACACACAGCATCGAAAAATGCCAACTTGAATATTAACAGTTAAATATTATTATTTATTAATCTTCCACTTCAGTTCGTGTGCCAAGACTGGAATGCTTGTTTCTTCTAGTAATGTGTTCAAGAATGTACCGCAAATACATTGGCTGACATTTGTTCTTTTGTCAAATATCCAGTTGAATATCACTTAATGGAAGTATCTGTTCAGCAGGTAGAGAACGGCGGTCACCTGCCTGTAGTAGACTGTGTAGTTAAAAGTAAGGGACTAGAAAGTCAAAAATTTCCTTTTGTGAATGTTACAGTATTTGCAACTGTCGGGCAAGTGGCTGTTTTTCTTTTTAAAAGCAGCTTTCTTTACTCCTGTTTCTGTTATTATGGTTATTTTCCTGCAGGGAGAAAATCGCTTGAGTCTGATGTGGTTTCGCTGTCATCTGAAATGATCACTGTTGTGCGTGTGGTTTTCACCTACTGTATAGGGAGAAGCCCTTTTTTTTGCTCAGAATGCTGACATTGGCTCCTGGGATGGAAAAAAAAAAAGAAGTTGTGAAAATTACAGTTTAATCAGTTGTTGGGTCAACGGATATTTGACAGTTAAGAGAAGTGTTTTGGTTTGTTTTTTGTTTTCTATGCCCACAGTCGCTGCTCTGTTTCTCCCCAGGTCTGACCTTGGCTGTGCTCTCGCTCTGTGAGGTTTGCAAGGAATAAACTTTTTTTTTTCTTGCAAATTGACTTCTCTCGGTTTGTTGCTGCTCCTCGAACCATGTATCTTGATTTTACACTTTGAATACGAGTTTGTATTACTACTGATATTTACACCTCAACCTCGTTTTTCTAAAGTTTGTTATTAGGGGATCTAACACAGGATGTTACTGATTGACTTTGTCGGAAATGAACTTAAAATCATGTTTCTCATCGGATCCCCTAAATTTAATGGTATATAAGATTAAGTGCATCTCTGAGCCATCTCAACCATTCCTGTATTACATATAAAACACTGCCAGCCGATCTTTTTAATTTTATTATAATGTCATCTTTCAAGAAAAAAATGATTTCATAAATCATTTTATTGACATAAATTCTCCCCCAACAAAGCTTTAAAAACTATTAAGATAATTATTTTAGCTTCTAGTCTGAAGATCACCAAGATGCCTTGTCCTCTCTTTACCACTAGGATGCAGTGTCCCTCTGCATAATGTAGGTTAAAAGAGAGACTCTGTCCACACGGTCTGGTTACTCACTGTCAAAAACCACTAAATCCCTCTTTTCAAAACCAGAAAATCCCATTCAGCTCAGACAAAAGACATTTATGAGAAATGTGTCCGTGCTAGCGGCTAATCACATTTTGTCAAAACATGTGAATCAGTGGTGCTTCCAGTGCTGTCGGGCAGCATTGGGCTCTTTGGTAAATGAGGTTGTGCACCATTGGAAAAACTGCTGTAAAGAAAATTATACATTTCACATAAGTATATAATCCCAATCAGGGGTTGTCTGTGCTCTGCTGACCTCTGGGCCTGGGATTTCAGCAATGGACCCATAAAAGGGAGTCAATTCTGATCTTACACATTTGAATTTTGAGTGACAACCCTGTTGATGCACATGGATTGAGATAATGAATCTGTCTGCCAAGGACACAGAATGCTTGTACATGACAGAAGCTCTCTCAGCATTTTGTCTCATGCAAATACACCTGATAAACCTGTGCAGTGAGCAATGCCCCTCACCCGTTCTCTCTGCAGGAGGGTTAGGCCAGCTATTTGTTTTACAGTCAGTATCTTACTGCTCTCTGAGGTCATATTGGCACCACATGATTTGATTATTTGGCAGAATGGAGGATGTGGAATTAACAGATTATAATGCGTCTTTTCTAGCCGCTGATGTCTGGCACAGTTTTGCCTTTAGGCCTCGCAAATCTACAGCAAATCAGGCTGTTTGAGGAGAATGAGCCAATTCTAGGTGTTTCTCTCGACTTGTTCAATTAACATAAAGTCCGCAAGCAATTTCCTTGGTGGAAATACACTTTCCATCCCCCCTGTCCCTGTACCCGTCCCTGTGGAAAACCAGGGACACTGCTAAAACTGAAATGGTTTTCTCAGCTGATCATGAGAGATATAGTGAATTTTCAGCACAGGTGTGAATAGATGTGTATATGATATGATATTCTCACTGTGGGGCTGCATTTGGTCTTTTATACTCTCCTTCAGAAAGGAGAATCATCTCTGCTGAATGTTGAGCAACCTTCTCACAGTCCCCACCTCTCTTTTTCTACCCACCGGCAGAAACTCATTGATTTTTCTCGCCAAACACACCTAGTGTAACTATTTCCCTGTGGTGATGCTTTAAAAGCCCATATATGTCTTGGATACTTCAGAATCGGGCAGATTTACTGGTGGAGAGTGCACTCTTTTGTCTCAAGCCTTTCGGTGAGGCATGACTGCCGGCAACGAAACTGATTTATAAGGAATGCACCTGCCTGAATACTGAAGGGTCGTTTAGTTTACAACACCACACTGATGGGATGATCATTCTCAACGAGATGAGCTTTAAATTCAGTATTTGTGGTGGAGTTGACTATAATATGTCCCTGGGGATGTATTAGCCTGTTGCGCTGCTATCTCTACAGCTTCCTGTGAAATCTGGTGCTGCAGGTTTTTTTGAAAGCCATTCTCTCTCTGGTTCACCTCCAGTGTGACGGTGAAAGATCATTGAATGTCTGTGTAGAAATCAGGCTCCCTAATAGCACGAGCGATAAATTGGTTGGCCGATTAAAAATCAGACAATATAATCCAGTCACAGAAATGTCGCTATCTGGATTTTTGTTTTCCGATATGAAAAGCTATTAATGTTTACCTTTTACATTTATTTGTGTTTTCTTTTTATGATGTTATGAATAATATAGGTATCGGCATTGGCCCCCAAAAATCCATATCAGTAAGGGCCCTACTTGGAATCATGGGAAATGTTTCGACCCCACCCAAACAACAACCCTGTGATAACACTATGTTCTTTTCAAAGAATTACTAAATAGACTAAACAGATAGTACTATGCGAGGGAGAGCGGGTCATCCACTAACCAGAAGGTCGGCGGTTTGATCCCAGTCTCCCCCATACCACATAGAAAGTGCACTGTTGACTGCAGAGACTGAGACTACACTATAGAGTCATTCTGAGCTTCAGCCGTTGTTCTTGGCTGGTCAGAACGGTGTCTCCTCAGCAGGGCTGTGAATCGAGACATTTGTATCCACAGTCTACATCTCCCTGTAACTTAGGGAAGCTATTGAGTACATTTTCATCAGGAGACCCCCCCCACCCCCCCTCAACTGCAGATGTTCAGCTCTGACTCTGTGGCCTTCCATTGTGAACAATGACTCACTGATACAGAGCGCCTGCCATGCAGCTGTTCTACTGGATGATATTGGCCAGGGGCAGAATGAGGAGGGTAGGGTTATAACGGGGTTACATACAGCACTTATATATAATGTCATATATGTCATACATTATATTCAGTGTATGCACCGTATCATATCATATCGGAAAAAGTGCATTGAAAGGACATTAATTGTTAAGTAAGAATTTCATTTTTTGCCTGAAGGTAATTATTCACAATTACAGATGTGAGGTGACATGTTTGATTACAGACGTACCAAACTAACTTTTCATTGGAATTCATCAAATAACTCTTTTTGGACAAGGGAGCTTGCGAAAATATTTGGTAAAGCTGGCCTCCAATACATACATGAATAAATAAATAAACAAGACAACACTATCAACAGAAGTGGTCAGATGATGATTTGTTAAAACCAAAATTGAGAGCTCAGGTGAGCTCAGGTGAGCTCAGGTGATGTGTGTCTGTGCTCAATGGAGATGTGGTGTCTTGCCTCTGGCAGTACGTGTTGTACGTTATATGTGTTAAGGGCACAGTCAATGCCAAAGTTATGTTTTTACATGTTTAATATCCAAGAAATGTAATATCCAAGGAGAATGACACCGCAGCTCTGCACTGTTGTAATTTCTCCATTTACTGCAAGGCATATTTAAAAGAACTGCAACTACATAGATAAAATTCACTATAATGATGAGAAGTGACCTCAGAATCAGAATTCCTTTATTGAAATTAACAACGTTGCAACAGCAAGATAATCAAACAAGCATGAAAAGTGAAGAATATAAAGTAAAGATAAGATAAAACAAGATAAATGACTACATACAAATTACACTTAGACTTCTGCATTGGTTGTATATGATGAGGTTCTGTGTCTGTGTCACTAAAGCTGCTTTCAGACATACTCCGGATAATATCCTGGCTTTCTAAAGGGGTTATATGTATAAATGTGAGTGTAGCACCTTTGCGTCAACCTGGGGTGGTGAACGGCAGTGGCCCCATCCTCCAAACCACTCGTGACATCACACACACCTCCACAGAGCAGACGGTGGTTTTAAGAGCTCCGCACACAAGAGGCCATGTGGAATTAAACATGAGGTCCGATTAGTGTCCGTGACACGACTGCCGAACAACCTGTCAGTAGAAGAGCCTGTGTGTGTGTGTGTGGGGCGGGGGGAGAAACAGGAAGGAGAGCGGCTGCAGGGGGGAGAAGCGGCACCGCCCGCCCGGGATATGATCACCGCCACCTCCGCTGCTGCAACAACCCGCTTCCCCTCCACTCGCGTGATTCCTCAAACGGGCGTCACGCACGTTATCCGCTTCATTTACATACATGACACCGCCCAGGGGGACGAGCATGATCCGCAGCCGTCGCCTGAAAGCGAACCGTGCGGAGGAGGAGTGGAGGAAAGAGACGCTGAAACAAAGTTTGGACGGGAGCGCAGTGATTTAGTCCGAGCCGAGTGTTTCCACAGCAGAAGAACCGGGGGCGCTCGTCGGAGCTCTTTGCCCAGCATACTTTTTCGGGGGGGGGGGTTGGAATTACGGACATGGACGCTTTGAAATCCGCCGGAAGGGCAATTATCCGGAGCCCCAGCATCGCCAAACAGTCGTGGGGTTCTGGCAGACATAAAAGTAAGTATCTGGGCTGTTTGTGTACATCTCCTGCGGAGGCGTTAGCCGCTGCTAATCTGGCTAAACCAAGCGACTAGCTAACATGACAAAAGCAGCGTTTACTTAGCGCTACTTTACAACTCGTATGCGTGTGTGTGCACGTTAGCTAAAGCTGCTGGGAATCGAACAGCTGTCAGTCGGGAGGGTGGCGAGGCACGGGAACCACCGAAACAACAGGTTTCACAGAGAAGGCGTCCGTGTGCCTGAGTCAGAAATGTTTCGTCGTGCAACTGAACTTGACGCTCGCAGTGACAGCAGCCCCGCGTAAACTGACTCCTGTCGAGGCGTGTGTGAGTTCAGCTGCCCGTGCTGCTGCTGGAGGGGGGGGGGGGGGGGATCCGACGAGTCGCTCACTGACACCGAGAACAGCGGGGGAGGGAAAAGTTTGAGACTCCCGTCGAAACCCCGTTGTTGTCCGCCACGTCACTCGGCTGACAGCTGCGTGATGCGGAGAGTGGTGGTCTCTCCGGCGAGCCTGTGCCATCCTAGCAACGCGCTGTTGCTAGGCGATACACCACGGGGGAAACAAAAAAAAATGCGAGGCTGTTGTGAGGAGCCGCGGTAGTCACCTTTCATACACCTCTCTACAGATCCACAACATGGAGGCGCTTATAACAGAAACGGGTTTTAATTTCACCTCTAACTCAGGATTTCCGCCCGATCTCTCGAGTG